TTAATATAACTCTGACTGGATTCGTCTGAAAGAAGAAAGTCATATACACCTAGGATGCCTCGGGGGTGAGTAAAACGCAGCCTAATTTTCATTTTTGGGTGAACTAACCCTTTAAATCATAAAGTCATGGCATTAAATGTTGCATGCATTGCCAAAAATGAATGTCTTCCTCAGTATTTTAATATCTAAACATTCCTACAACAAGATATATTTACTTGAGATGCTAAACAAAGACATGAAGTCTTGTTTTCTGAGAAACCAAACAAAATTAAGTGAGTTTATGCTTCAAATAAGAACAAACATTTGTCAGTGGAGTATGACTTGTTCCCTTTGAATTAAGTGAGCCCTTACTTTGATCATTTTGATCACTTTCACAGAAAACAAGTAATGAATCTTGAACATTTTTACGGGGAAACATTGAATTTAAGTGAAATCAAAAGTAAGAATTTTATTTACTTGGTCTTAAAAAGTCTTAACCCAGCAGAAATGCTGTGTTAATTGGACGTCACTCACATGAGACATACTGAGGTCATGTGAGAACAACGTAGCATACTACGAATTTCTAATGTTGTTTCACTTATTATTTTTTTATGTATTGCATTTGTTCCATTTGGAACATAGCAGCATGCCTGTTCTGGATACAAAAAGCAAACACGTGTGATCATGCGCATAGGAATTCTCACGCACTCTTTCAGCTGTTTAGGAACTGACACAAACGCCACACAAAGCGTCCCTTCTCCATGTGAGTGAAGACGAGCCAGGCCGCATTACTGCATGAGCAGCACAGAGACTCCACAGTGCCTCTGACACACTCACGCTCGCAGAACAGTCTCCCTCTCAGTCCTGCTGGACGAGTTTGATTCAGTGTCAAACACAGCGCAGCTGTTTACACAAACATTCCAGCGCCGCTCTCAACGCTGATGTAAAGATACAAAGAGCTGTTTAAATAGAATGCAGAAAATTCCTTGCATAATGAGCTTTTAAAAGAATATTCTTGGTTATTTAATGCACGTGGACAGCACCTGTGGCGTGCTGGTGATTTTCAAAAATATGACACACATTAAATATTGACAAAACTATTTTATGAATGTATATATGTTATATATGTAAATGTGATATTAATTATATATTATAAATTAATATATTAATTTTAAACAATTTGTAAATGTATATAATTTTTGTATTTTTAAATTAACTGTATTTGACTTATTAGCAGACTTATATTACACAAGATTACATATATGTAATTCCAAGTATGGGTCACCATACTTGGCCACATGTCACGTCACTTTCACTTTCAATATACACAGTACACATACATATATTATGTAAACAAAAACTTTTATTTTGAATGCAATGTGTATATATATATATATATAATATACACATATACATATACATATATACATACATACATACATACACACACACACACACACACACATATATATATATATATATATGTAGTGCTTTGTAAATGGCTTTGTGTGTTTTATAAGTGTGAGGGAGGAATTACAAATATTTTTTAAGGTAACACAGCTTAAGTTGTATTTAGCTCTAAATATTCCTTTAAGGCATGTGACATTACATTTCTAGGTCATGACAAATGTGAAGTGTGTCGGTGGTTGTGTGTCAGATTCTCCGCACGGACACGCATCTATTTTAGGAGCAGCAACATGGGCTCTCAGTCAGGAAGTTATTTGCTTATAGTGTCTGTCAGACTTCTTATGTCTGTCCTTATTTCCAGTGACCTGTCCCATGCAAAACAAAAGCCTCACCCTGAAACTTCCTGCATGCTAATGTGTCGATCAAAAATGTCCAATATGTTATTGATTATACATGCCTTATATTTTGTTATTTACTTGAATGTCGGTTCTCTATGTAATAAATGACGCTGCATGTGCTGATTTTTTTATTTGTGATGCCAGGCATGACCGAGAGGGAACGGCAGGTGATGAAGAAGCTGAAGGAAGTTGTAGATAAACAGCGAGACGAGATCCGTGCCAAAGGCCGCGAGCTGACACTCAAAAACGAGGACATTGAAGCGGTAAAGAGCCATGTTCTTGCTGAGCAAATCCTATTGTTAGCAGCAGTCAACGCACAGACATTATCTCAAGGAAGCAAGATGAAGAGATGTCGAAAGCCTTCATTAAAATCAACAACTTTTGCTGGAAAAAAAAATATTGCCAAATAACATCATAGCCTAAACATCTGATGAAATCACAGTGGATCAGAAGTGCATAATGTGCACATAATGTTCATCATATTGTGGAGGTTTAATGTGGCACAAATGGCGTTTCTTCCAGCTCCAGCAGCAGTTGAACCGGCTGATGAAGATCAACCATGACCTGAGGCATAAGATCACGGTGGTGGAGGCCCAGGGTAAAGCGCTGATCGAGCAGAAGGTGGAGCTGGAGGCGTCTGGTCAGGCACGGCAGCAGGAGATGGGTAACCTGCGACAGGAAGTGTCCCGTCTTAAGGAGCGGCTTAAAGAGCAGGGCAAGATCAGCGCTGAGACGGAGGAGCCTGTAGGACCACCTTCACCTGCACAGGTACATGAATGGAGATGGGTGCTGCATTGATTGTGTTGGTTTTTCACATGTTTAGAAACTCATGAAATCTCTGACAAATAGATTATGAACTGAAGTTTTCCATTGCATCTTTGCTTAATTCCAATGCATTGAGACACCTCAGTGTTCAACTGCAGCATTCAGTCATTTCTATTTCTATTTAAAGGAAGTAAGTGTGATCTAAAGTGTCAGGATCTTCACATGGTGTCCATAATGAGTCAGAATGAAACATCAATGAGTCACAGTCTCATAGAGGAAACAAGGATGAGAATAAAAATCAGTGGACAGTGTATATGGCTTGGTATGCAAGTTGTATATATGAATTGAGGCTTCCAGTTAATTGTGAACTTTTGGGACTAATTGAGGATATTTAACATTGTTAAATTCAATGCAGTGCACACATTTACTTCGTTTGATATTTAAATGGATTGTTTGTAAGTTAATGACAGTTAAAGACGTATGGCATGGTACATTTGTTCAAAATTATTTGCATTAGTCTTTGTATGATTTAATTGAATTATTAGCAAAGCTTACCACCTTAATATGAAATCACATGTGAGTGAAAAAGTGATGGAGCCTAGTGGCTTTGCAGTTTGAGTGCACTATATTTATTTACACTACCTTTCAAAAGTTTTTTTTTTTT